GTGAGAGAGAGAGAGATCTCAGACTGTGTGTGTGTGAGAGAGAGAGATCTCAGACTGTGTGTGTGTGTGTGTGTGTGTGAGAGGGAGAGAGAGAGCGGGATCCCAGACTCTCTCCTGACTCTGTGTGTGTGTGAGAGGGAGAGTGCCCAGACCCCTCTCTCTCTCTCTGTTTGGGCTGTTGGGTAATGGATGATTAATTCCCTAAATGACATCAGCGGCTGGGCTGGAGAGTGTGGACACGATCAATCTCAGTGTTGAGAGGTTTCACTGAGGGACAGCTCCGCTGATGAAGCCGAAGTATGGCCGGTTTCGAAGTGAGTCGGTGACCAGCTCAGCGAGCGGCTTGTTCCACAGCCTGACCATGAGCGGCCAGCTCGGTGCAGCTCCCGTGGCCGAAGAGCCGGAGGATTCCACCACCTTCTGCACCCTCATCCCCAGAATCCCGCACTGGAAATTCTCGGCGTCGCCAGGCTCGGGGTTTTTGGGAGGCAGGAACCCGGCTAAAGAGCTGCCTCCCCCCCGGCCTGCTACCCCCCGGGGGCCCGGCCTGGCCACTGTCCTGGGATCCTGTGACTCGCTGTGCCCCCCTCCCTGCTCTGTCCAGGCCACGGCTCGGCTGCCCGGGGGAGGCAGGAGGGTCCGGGTGGAAGGAGTGCGCTTGGCCGGGGGGGAGTGGAATCGCAAAGGCAGCTTCATCAACAAACCGTCCGGAGGCTGGTTACACCCAGATACCAAGATCCTGGGTCCCGGGGTCTCCTACATCGTCCGTGTGAGTAACAGGGGGAGAAGTGTGTGGGTGTGTATCCCTCCCCCCCCAGGGGGCAGACCACACTCAGTCCCCATGCAGGTACTTTGGGTGGGGTGGTTGTCTCAGGCCTTGTCCGTCCCCATTGTCCATTCATTGCCCACAACAAGCTGCAGTGACCCCAACTCTGTCCTCAGGGGAGGTCAGGGCAGAGGGCGCTTCTCAAGGCAGTCGCTGAGGCAGGGTCATATCATTGGCAAAGAGAAACCAGGAAGTAATTGACTCATTAGACCCTGACAATTGACGTGGTCCTGCTGTTAGAATCTATAATTTAATTACTTTATGAGAATGTAATTAGAATCTATAATGTAGGAGAGAGAGGCTGATCACTAACAGTAACTGAGAAAGCGAGAAACATGACCTTTTGTAAAGGTTGGGTCCCCCTCCCAAGCTTGATTGAATTTTTGGAGGAAGCGACAGGTGGACTGTTCAGGTGAATGTAGCTGCATGCCGTTTGTTTGGACTTCAGGAAAGTATTTGATAATTTTGTATGTGTTCAACACAGAAAGAGGCAATTTAGCCCCTCCTAGGAAGGAGTTGGTGCTTGTGAGAGGTAGGCAGGATGTTTCCTTTCATGGGGGAGTCTGGAACAATGGGGATTAGCAGAGGGTAGATCTGTTGGTTGTGAGGTTGTTTAGCTCTATCACTTGCTGTTTACGATGTTTGGCGTGCAAGTAGTCCTGTTTGGTGGCTTCACCAGGTTGATACCTCATCTTCAGGTATGCCTGGTGCTGCTCCTGGCATGCCCTCCTGCACTCTCCATTGAACCAGGGTTGATCCCCTGGCTTGATGGTGATGGTTGAGTGGGAGTTATGCCGGGCCATGAGGTTATAGATTGTGCTGGAGTACAATTCTGCTGCTGTTGATGGCCCACAGCGTCTCATGGATGCCCAGTCTTGAGTTGCTAGATCTGTGCTAAGTCTGTCCCATTTAGCACAGAGATAGTGCCACACAACACGATGGAAATTACTCTTAGTGTGAAAGTGGGACTTTGTCTCCACAAGGACTGTGCAATGATCACTTTTACCAATACTGCCATGAACAGATGCAAGTGCAGCTGGCAGATTGGTAAGGATGAGGTCAAATATGTTTTATCCTCTTGTGGATTCCCTTACCTCCTGCTGCAGACCCAGTCTAGGAACTAGGGACATTTAAGCGACTCTTGGATAGGCACATGGATGATAGTAAGATGTGGGGTATGCAGGGTAGTTTGATCTTACAGTAGGATAATAGGTTGGCACAACATCGTGGGCCGAAGGGCCTGTATTGTTCTATGCTCTATGTTCTAGCTATGTCCTTTAGGACCCAACCAGTTCCATAGTGCTGCTGCTGAGCCATTCTTGAAATCCCCCACCCAGAGTACATTTTGTGCCCTTGCCACCCTCAGTGCTTCCTCTAAGTGTTGTTCAACATTGAGGAATACTGATTCATCAGCTGAGGGAGGACAGTATGTGGTAATCAGCAGGAGGTTTCCTTGCCCATGTTTATCCTGAAGCCATGAGACTTCATGGGGTCTGGAGTCAATGTTGAGGACTACCAGAGCAACTCCCTCCCGACTGTATACCACTGTGCCACCCCCTCTGCTGGGTCTGTCCTGCCGGTGGGACAGGACATATCCAGGGATGGTGATGATGGTGTCTGGGCCATTGCCTGTGAGGTATGATTCTGTGAGTATGACTATGTCAGGGTGTTGGTTATCTAGTCTGTGAGACAGCTCTCCCAATGTTGGCACTAACCCCCAGATGTTAGTGAGGAGGACTTTGCAGGGTCAACTGAGCTATATCTGCCGTTGTCTTTTCTGGTGCCTGGGTTGTGCCAGGTGATCCGTCCAATTTCATTTCTTTAAGACTTTGTAGAAATTGGTACAACTGAGTGGCTTGCTAGGCCTTTTCAGTGGGCAAATGAGATTTAACCAAATTGCTGTGGGTCTGGAGTCACACGTTGATTGATTTATTGTCACATGTACCGACGTACAATGAAAAGCTTTGTTTCCTTCCCTGAAGGACATGAGTGAACCAGATGGGTTTCCTGGTCATCAGTGGATTCTTAATCGCAGTTTTTTTTTGATTGAATTCAAATTTCACCATCTCCCATGGCAGGATTCCTCCTGGGTCCCCAGAACATTAGCTGAGTTTCTGGATTAATAATCTAGTGATAATACCACCAGGCCATGAATTCTTTGCTTATGTACTTTAAGCCATTATTTATAAATCCCAGGGATCCTATAGACCATATTAACCAACTTCTCAACGTGTCCCACCACTCTGATTTGTGTCCACGCATCCCAGCTCCTTCTGCTCCTGCACCCACTTTAGAATGGTTTCCTTTTAGTTTGTATTGTCTCTCTTTAATCTTCTGACCAAACTGAGTTACTTCATGAGCCTCGGTATCAAATTTTATCTGCAAACTTTCTGTCTGTTCCACCAACTGGCCTGTGTCCTCTTCTAGTTCTATCACTTTCTTTGTCTTCACTCACAATATTTCCAAGTTTTGTGTTCTGCACATGTTTTGAAGTTGTGCCCTGCACATCCTCTTGTTAAAACTTCATTCATGGATCGTGGGTGTCACTGTCTGGGCTAGCATTGAGAGCCCATCCCCAAGTGCCCATCTTTAACATGGATTGCCCTTGAGAAGGTGCTGGTGAGCTGCCTTCCTAAACCGCTTGTTTTGTAGGTATGCCCACAATACCCTTTAGGATTTTGACCCAATGACGGTGAAGGAATGGTGATTTATTTCCAAGTCAGGATGGTGAGTGACTTGGAGGGGAACTTGAAGGTGGTGGTGCTCCCATGTATATCTGCTGTCCTTGTCCTTCTAGATGGAAGTGGCCATGTGTTTGGAAGGTGCTGTCTGAGGATCTTTGGTGAATTTCTGCAGTGCGTGTTGTAGATATTTCACACTGCTGCTACGAGTCGGTGGTGGAGAGAGTGGATGTTTGAGGATATGGTGCCAATCAAGCGGGGGCGGCTTTGTCCTGGATGGGTATCAAGCTTCTTGAGTGTTAATGGAATTGCACCCATCCAGGTAAGTGGAGAGTATAACATCACGCTCCTAACTTGTGCCTTGTAGCCGGTGGACAGGCTTTGAAGAGTTAGGAAGTGAGTTACTTGCTGCAAGATTTGTAGCCTTTGACCTGCTATTGTAGCCACTGCATTTATATGGTTAGTCCAGTTGAATGTCAATTGTGTCTCCTAGAATCTTCATTGTGGAAGATTTAGCTATGGTAATGTCAAGGGACAATGATTTTGATTCTTTCTTTTTGTAGATGGTCTTTGCCTGGCATTTATGGCATGAATGCTACTTGCTACTTCTCACCCAAGCCTGGATAATGTCCATAAACAAAAATTGCTGGAAAGACTCAGCAGGTCAGGCAGCATTTGTGGAGAGAAGGCAGAGTTAACAGTTCAGGTCTAGTGATCCTTCTTCAGACCCTCCTGGATATTATCCAGATATTGTTGCATTTGGATATGGACTGCTTCAGTATCTGAGGAGTCACAAATGGTGCTGAACATTGTGCAATCATTTGCCAACATCCCTGCTTCTGACATTATGATGGAGGAAAGGTCATTGATGAAGCAGCTGAAGATGGTTGGGCGAACGACACTACCCTGAGGAACTCCGGCAGAGATGTCTTGAAGCTGAGATGATTGACCTCCAACAACCACAGCCAACATCCTATGTGCTAGTAAAGTGATGATGTAGTGGTATTGATGGTGGATTGGTAATCCAGAGACCCAAACAATGTTCTTGGGATCTGATTTCAAATTCCTCTGTGACTAATTGTGGAAGTTGAATTTTAAAAAAAGTTTGGAATTAAGAAGTCAATTGACGACCATGATCCTGTCACTAGTTGTTGTGAAAGAGGTGGGTTTTTAACTAAAGTCCTTTTAGAGAGAGAGATGTGCTGTCCTGGTCTGACCACCATGTTACTCCAGACCCACAGCAATGTGGTTGACTCATACCTAAACTCTGAAATAACAAGCTAACGGGTCTAGACAGGGTAAACGTGTGAACGATACTCCCAATGGCCGGGGAGTCCAGAACCAGTGGTTGAAACTAAGGCCACCGGGTAGGCCAGTTAGTATTCAGATGAGGAGAAATGTCTTCACCCAGAGAGTGGGGAGTCTGTGGAATTCACTGCCACTGAAAGTGCTTGAGGCAAAAATGTTGAACATTTTCAAGGAGTTAGATAGAATCTTTCAGGCTGAAAGGATTAATTGGTATGGGAGTGAAAGTGAGAACATGGTACTGAGTTGGATGATCAGTCATGATCGTATTGAATGGTGGAGCAGGCTTGAAGGGCTGAACGGCCTATTCCTCATATTTTCTATGTTTATCGTATCCAACTTCTACAAATTTTTGATTCAAGACTGCTACCACAAATATCTCACCAAAATCCTAACAAAAAAGAACAGTTAACCGCTACTCTGTTTCCCATCATTCAGCCAAATGCATATCCATGCTGCTATTGTCTCTTTTATTCCAAGTCCTTTAACTTTATTGACAAACCTGTTGCCTGTCACTTTATCAAAATTCTTTTGAAAATCTATCTACACTACAGCAGCTGCATTATCATCATCATCATCATCATTCAAAGCTCAAACAAATTAACTGAACACAATATGTTGTTAACAGACCTCTGCTGACTTTCCTTAATCAATCACATCTGTCCAGGTAACTCTTAATTTTGTTCTGTCTATTTTCAGTTATGTTTCTAAATATTTCTATTTTCTATGGATTTCCTTTTGTGTTAGTTGCCAGTGTCTTCTCATACTCTGTCTTTGATCCTCTGTTTTTTCTTCTTTTAACTTTCTACGTTTAGCATGATTCTCAGTTATGTTAACAACCTTACATCTGTCACACGTATCTTTTTCTGCTTTGTTTTGCTGTCTTGTGTTGTCTAGGGAGTTCTGGCTTTGTTTGTCTTTTCCCTCCTTCTGGTGAGGTTCTGCATATGAGACCATTAACTCCAGTTAAACTATGTGAAATTGAAGACAAATTTTGATCTGCTAAGGAGATGGTTAGATGGTGAGAACAGGATT